GTTCCTATTAAATCTGAAGGCAGAAGGAAGGGAAAAGCCCCACAGTTTCTGGCAGGGCCTGTGGCAGCATCAGCAGCAGTGGTTCCTGCCGAGCAGAAGTGAAGAGGGTTTCAGTAGAACAGGAATTAGTGAAACAGAAAGTTAGAATTCTATTAGACAGTAAGGACAGTGGCCTCCAAATGGAGTCAGGAAGCCCAAATGGAGTCTGTTAAGTCACAGCCCTCTACAGACCTTACAAAAGCATTACCAGGTGTCCGTCAGCTGTCCAAAGCCTCCCCAGAGCACGATCAGGCAGGCCACTGGCTCAAGGGTGCGTGAAGCCTGCGTGGGCCCTGAGTGAGCACTGCATAGATCTGACCCTAAAACTGTGTATCCTGTGCTAGGTCAGAGATCATATTGCTGACACAATGACCCAAGCTGCCTTCTAAACACCTTAAAAATTCCCAAACAGCCTTCTTGAGTTTCCTGCTCAGAACCCCTTCCTGGCTAACATAAGGAGCCTTACTTCCTTACCTTTCTATCCCTTAGTTTCTTGCCTTTCCATCTGTCAAATAAATTTCCTTGCACTCTGCGTCCTCCATCTGTAGTTTCAGTCTTCATCGTGGTGGGACACAACACCAGCACTACCAGCACTACAAGCTCACCCAGACCTGTGGGCTGCAGTTTCTGATTCTTTGCCTTTTCTCCCTTTTGCTCCTCTGAATCTTCCTGATCTCTGGTTAACCTTACTTTTTCTCTTGTGTGTCTACAAACCTCCCTACAACTTTCTAATAATTCCTTGCATTAAATCTTTCTTATCTGGAATAACTAGAGTGGTCTCTGTGTTGTTAATGAAAAATGAATGATGTAATGCACATTCCTATTTTGCATACACAGGCAAGGCGCGCATACACACAAATGCAGTTCAGAAAGGCTGAGTCTCTCAAATCTGCAGGGAGTGAGGTTTAGCTGGCATTGGACATAAGACATGTTTGATTTTGGTTATTATTTTTGTTTAATCACTCGATAAAACTTAAAGTAGGACAGAAAAATAAAAATATCATTAAGAAACTTGTTCAGATGACCAGCATTGATGTTTTATTTGGGCTAGTAAAAGCAGTTTTTAGGGAATGGAAAACTAAGAACCAGTACTGGGATTACAGGCATGTGCCACACAACCAGTTCCTGTCCTTTTTTGTATGGTGCAATTGAGTTTTTTGTTTTGTTTTGTTTTGTTTTCCTGTTGTTGTAGGAGATCTTTGTGATGCTGCACCTGTCCGTTCATCTGTCAGCTCACCAGTGTGCTCCACAATTTTTTTGCATAGTTCCCTGGGCAGAAACATTTCGTTTTTCATCTGCTGTAAATGATTTCTTGTGAGTTCCACTCCTAATCTTCTAAGAAAATTTTTCTGTGGTATTTTGCGCTTTTATTTTCTCTGTAAGCTATCAAACTACTGATGACACACATTTAGGGTTGAGTAAAATGCAACCACTGGCCAACATTTTATGTTTCAGGTGACATCATAGTTGCTGCATTACATGTCCTCTGCCTTTAGTTTTGTTGTAGAAAGTCTCTATCTCAGTCTTCTAGTTTGTTGAGGTTTCCCTATCAGTACTTCCATCGTGGTGTGATGTGGACATCAGCAGTACCAGTTTGTTTTTCTTTGCTATGTCCTGTTAGATTTATCTGGCACAATAGAGAAGCAAAAAGTAAAGAAAAAAGAACAAGTTTATTGAGGATGTGGAAAGGAGCACACAACCCATGGTGGTTGGGGCCATTTCCTTTGATCAGACAGAGAGGGTTATATGACCTCTGACCAGAAGTGGCACGTGGGGCCATGGGGCGCCTAGGGCGGATACTGATGATGTGTGAGGAACGGATTGGAATTCACAAACAGGAAAGGGAGCTGCAATTAGGGCTGAAGAAGAAGGATGAAGTGGTAAGCATTCCCACTTTGGCCTTCTGCCATGTTAGATTACCACCATAATTGTACAGTAACTTATACTAGGGCAAGAACCTTTCAAATATGAGGCCATTATTATATCTTGCTGAAATCCAAAGATTTTACTCTCTCTCTCTCTCTCTCTCTCTCTCTCTCTCTCTCTCTTTTTTTAAACCGGGGATCGAGCTCACGACTGTGTGCTTACAAGGTAGGCGCTTATGCCACTGAGCTAAATTCCCAGCTTTTCTCTGTCTTGAAATTACCCACAGATGCAGCTACTGAGACATATGACTGGCTACTAGTCTGTTAAAGTACAAATTTACAGTGGATCAGTTGTTATAACCCAATGTTACACTCTACAAGCAAAGAAAAGGTGATTGGAGCTAGGACACAGAACCTCAGAGTAAAGGCCCCTGCTAGAGTTTCAGATGATTTTTTGAGCCTAAGACAAACCAACCACCAACCTCAGCTGGGCTGGGAAAGTAGAGGAGAAAAAGAGTCTCATCTAGCCCCAGTTGTCTGTGAGGTAGGCCCAATCCCCAGTCAAATGACTGTTGGCAGGCTGGGAAGGTAAACCTTTGGTCAGTTGATGATCGGAAATGAACAAAGTACTATATCTTTTATGCCAGCAACCCTGCCTGGCCTAGGAGACTGACGGGTTGGTCAGAGCTGTCTGCTGGCTGAGCTCTTTGTTATACTAAGATGCTAAAAATTAAAATAATTGATTAAAAGATAATTAACAAAATAGTTACTTAAAAAGGTAGTTATTAATAATATTGTCATTCTGTACTGAGCTCATTACCCTAGTAACCAAGCACCAACCACATAGTTATAAATTAACTGACCACGTTGTTCTGCTGTTCGGTAATGCATCATTCCCCCCCCCCACGTTAGTGACCTGTATGCTATGTCAACTTTTGTTCCCCTTGTAAGAGACAAATGATGCTGTGTCAACCACTGTTCCCTTTATGAGAGACAAATGTTCCTGGAATTGGCAGACCAAGGGCTATGAATTGGCTAACCACCCACTGTGAAATGCCTCTGACCTCAAGCAAAGGGGAACAAAGGCCCACCTTGTTTCTGTTTCTCACCACTATGTACTTAATGATCAATGAGCTAATCATAAATGAACTATAAAAATCAGTCAAAACTCTGAGTTGCACAGCTTTGCAAATTCCATCTGCACTGTGTCGCTGGGCCAGCTAAAATAAAAGCGCTTCTTTTAAAAAAGATGTCTTGCCCCATTTGTCATCTTGGGGTCTTGCCCCATTTTTCATCATGGGCCCTGTTTTTTGAGTAGAGTACAACACTCTTATGTTCCTCAAATGTGATTTGTGGTGTCACATCCTGAACCATTCCTCCTCTTCCCCTCCAACTTGTCTCTGACACATAGCTGGTATCTTTGTCACCCAACTCCATTCCACTTGTTATCTTACCTCATGGCAGCCCAATTCTTGTCATTTTCATCTGACATGCTACCCCTCCAACCTAACAAGAACCCTTCATGGTACTCTGACCAATCCACCTTGCACACGCACAGCCACCCTAGCGTCCATGGCTCCTGATGCCTGGGGGTCAGTTGGTGGCCAGTTATTAGCAGGCTGAAGCAGTGTCCTAGTTCTACCTCCTATTTGCTGTGCAAGCTCAGCAGTTTCTCTTCCCACTCTACTCTTCTTTTTCTCTCCGTGTCTGGATAGACTGGAGAAAGCCAGTTTGTAGTCTACATTTAAAAATCATTTGTGTAGATCTGTGCCTTAGACTTCTCCCCATGCTTCCTGGAACCTTGTTAGAGCCTCACAGAGAAGTTGCTTTGTTGAGGACCACAGATTCACAATGGCTGGTTTTACTTACTTCCATAAGGAATGAATGGAGGCTTGGGATCATCAGCATCACCCTTCTGACATTCCCCATTATTTTATTAGGGGTGGGCCATCCTCTCCCACCTACTAAAACTAAAACTAAAACTAAAACTAAAACTACTGAGACCAAAGATGCCCCAGGGCAAAATCCTCATTAGTTTGAAATCACTACCAGTTTCTGAGTCATCCGATAATCCCCTTCTCAATCAATAAATGCCAAGCTTCTGGCTGCCTAATGGCCTTTTGTAAACAACGGGTGATCTCAGATTCCCACTGTACTGCCATTTTGCCTCTTTCTTTCTTTCTTTTTTCTTTTTACCATGTGCCACATCACCTGGCAGGAGACTGGGGCTCACTGTAGGGTTCTCTGATAATTGCTAACTTTTCAATTCAAAGAAAATTGTTTCGTAGCAGCACAATTCACAAATTGTCAATTCACTAAATTATAGAAGTGGCTTATATATGTCCATTGACAGATGAATGCATACAGAAAATGTGGGAGATATGCACAATGGAATACTCCTCAGTCACAAAGAAGGACAAATTTGAGTCCTCTGGAGGAAAACGGACGGATCTTGAGATCAAAATGTTAAGTGAAATAAGTCTGACCGACAAGTTAAAGACTACATGGCTTCTCTTACCCGAGAAGCCCAGAGTAAAGGAGAGATGTAGAAAATGGGGAGCCAGGTTTGTTGGCAACGGGAAGAAGAGCAGGAAAAAGGTGGGGGAGGGAAGAAAAAATGACCATAGCCCACGTTGGGCAAAGTCCTGCATACCTGTGACCCCAACACTCAGGAGGCTGAGGCAGGAGGATTGCTATGAATTTGAGGCCAGCCTTGAGCTATCTAACTCAAGACCAGCCTAAACTAGAAAAGTGAGATCTTGTCTCAAAAAAAGTCAAAATACCATACATGTATATGTACCAGGTCCCCAAACTGTATGTAAAATGTATGTAATCAGTATGTGTTGCAAACATAGTAATAAAAAATAAATTTAAAAATAAAAAGTTTAAGCCCAGGCATGGTGACACACATCTGTAATCCTAGCACTTGGGAAGCTGAAGCAGGAGGATTGTTGCAAGTTTGAGGCCAGCTTGGGCTACATAGTGACTTCAAGGCTAACCTGAACTGGGTAGGGAGACCTGTCTCAAAAAGACAATAATTAAATAAAATTTAAAAATAAAACCTAAGTTTAAAGGAGAAAGATTATTCGAAGGGTCTGTGAGTCAAACGAAGAATCCATCTGGCTTTATTGGGAGAAAGGCGACGCGGCGGGGTTGGGCTGGTCCCACCTGGAGGTGCCTCAGTGGCCGCAGCCCAGGAGGCTGGCCACCTTCTGCGGCTGCGGGAGGGTCTTGGCTGCATTCAGTTTCTCCACATCACTGTAACAGTACACATTGGGGCCCCGGACAAGGTATAGACTGGGGCCAGCAGCAGAACACGAGCTGAGGCCAAAGGACTTTTCCACACACAGGGCCGCGTCGATGTCCTCATGGGCCCATGGGAGCTCTGTCCATGTGGCCTGAGGCCCCAGCTTCAGGTCCAACCACCACAGCCGCCGACCTAAACAAAAGACGCCACATGTAAGAGGGCTTCCGAGTCCTGCAATCCTGACTTAGCCCTTTCTCCTGCCCTGCAGAGGTCTGTGCCATAGAGCTGTAGTGGAACAAGTCACTTCCTTTAGTCCCCAGAAGCTCTCACCGGCTGTGACATAGAGCTGAGAAGACCCAGGACAAGTGAAGGCTGCGTCCACGGCCTTAAGGCTGATCCCATGAGGGCCCCCGAGCTCCTTCTCCAGCCGCTTCGGGTAACCACTCACGAGGGTGTGGGCTGCCTTGGTCAGGAAGACATACACCTGGGTGCCCTGGAGGACAGAGGGACAGAAATCAACCCAGAGCAAGATATTCACATCCCAGTTTCCACCTCAAGCCCCCCTCCTGGCACCCACCTGTAGCAGGTAGAGTTTATCCTCCCAGGAAAAGGCAGCGTCCACCGTGGAAGGGCCCTGGGGCCACTGATGAGCGATGGGCCAGCTATGCCACCCGTCCCGGCTGGTGTCCAGACGCCAGTAGTGGGGCCCTGTGTGGTATCAGAAGTAGCTCATGTGTATGTGTGGAGGGGGTGGATTCCAAGCTATGGCAGATGCAGAGGTGAGCCATGAGAGGGACAGAAGGCACCCAGAGGCCAAGAAGGAAGAGGCAGGTGAGCGGGAGAAGCACAGTAACGTGGAGGGCTGGAGCCCTGCTGGAGCTGGGTCGGCTGGGCAGCCTTGGACAATGGTGGTAATGTTTCGAGGTAATAGGGCAGGGTACAGGCTCCCTATAAATCACAGAGGGCGGAGATGTGGTCACACATCACAATATCTAGCAGCCAGAAGCTGAGAGGGAAGCTGGACAACAAACTCCCGCTGTGCGTCATCCCAGCTGGGGGCACTGATCCTGGGAAACAGCGGCAGAGTGAGGGCGTAGCCAGGCCTGCACCCGTGCTTTTTTTTAGTACCCCATTTTTTTCTTCCCTTTCACAACAAACTTATTAAGGGAATTACCTAGGCTCCCACTGATCCTTTTTTCAGTACACTTCTGTATTCTCCCTCTGTCAAAACTGTTCTTCTCAAGATCACCAGTGTTTGCCAAGCTTCCAGGTCTCAAGGTCAGTTCTGTCTCCACCTGAGTCCACCTCCCAGCAGCACCTGACTACTTACTGCTCCCTTCTTTGAATATATTGTTTGAATCTTTGTTCTTTTGATATCAGCCTCTTCTAGTGTTCTTCTCATCTGTTTGACAATTCTCTTCAGCGTGAATCTAAAGATTCCTCAAGAAACTAAACATAGAAATTCCATTCTACCCAGCTATTCCCTTCCATGTATCTTCCCAACAGTTAAAGTCATTATAGTACAGTGATACACGCTTGCCCATATGCACATCAACAGATGCATTGATAAAGAAAATGTGGTATTACGCGCAATGAACTACTACTCTGCCATAAAGAAGAATAAACTCCAGTCATTTGCAGGAAAAGGGGTGCACCTTGAGACCACAGTGTTAAGTGAAATAAATCAGACACACACCCTTAAGACACATAGCTTCTCTCATACAAGAAAATCAGGATATAAATAAATTAATGAGCAAACTGAAAGACAGATAATAGGAAATAGGAGACAGATGAAAGTGGACCAAGAGATAGGGAAGAAAGGGAGATGTGACGTTACATACATGTATTGACTCCCCACAATGAATGTGGCCATTCTGTACTGCACATATACACTCATAAAAAAAAGACTGGTATCCCCAATTTTCTCTCCTTCCTCCTTCCAGGGGTAATCACTGAGTTCTGGGGCTTTAATCATTAATAAGCAGAGGACTTCTACTCATCTATCTTCAGTTCTTCTCCTTTGTTTTTGTTTTGTGTGTTTATTTGCTGTTTTTTGTCTTTTTGAGGAACTCACTATGTAGTTCAGGCTGGTCTTTTTATTTTTATTTTTTTAATGTCGCTGAGCTAAATCCCCAGCCCAACCATCAGGCTGGTCTTGAACTCACTATGAAACCCAAGCTGTCCTGACCTCTCCTTTGAACTTCAGGCTCAAACTCAATTACTTATTTGATATGTTTACTTGGTATCCTTAGGCACCAAACCTAACTTTACAAATTGATTTCTTGCCCTACAATACACAGACACACACACATACTTCCTAGTGTTTCCACACTTTAGAAAAAGACACCAACCACCCAGTTGATCAGTCCCCAAAAGCTGAGTTATTCTTGAACATTCTGATTTATTTTCCTTTCTCTTCACCATTCTGACCACTATTCAGTTTATCAGTAGATTCTGTCTGCTCCATCTGCAAAACATGTCCCAGTGACTCCTCTTCACCTCTGCTGCTATCTTCCCAGTCCAAGCTGTCCTCACCTCCACCCTGGACAGCTGAAGGAACTGGACCCTCTGCTTATGCAAGCATGCCTTTACAACTGATGCGCCCAGGGAAGTCAGATTGGTCTTTTTAAAAAAAATAAGTCAAGACATATCACAATCCCTGTTAATCCTCTTGGCTTCCTTCTATAAGTGAAAATCCTTACTAGGCCTGTGTAATTACCCAACTTTCTATTCCACCTCATTGGTTTGCATTTTATTTTGTTTCTTGTGTTTTTTGGTGTTTTTTAGTGGTGTTGTTGTTGTTTTATTTGTTTAGTTTTTGAGATAGGGTCTCACTTTGTACTCAGTCTGGCCTTGAACTCACTAAGTAGTCCAGGCTGGCCTGTGAACTTGCAGCAATCCTCTTGCCTCAGGCCCGCTCCCTCTCTCTTTCAAACTGCCCACCTACTCCTGTGTGCCAGCTACTGTAGCCTTCTTTCATGATTCCTCCAAGTATTTGCTGTTTGCCCTTTCTAAACTGCTTTTCATCTAGGGATTTCTGTGGTTAGTTCCTTTTCATCACTGAAATACTGGCTCGAAACTCATCTCTTCAGAAGGGGACCTCATTTTCCTCACCTCTATCCCATTATCTAGTCTCCATATATCACAGCTCTTAATACTGTGTGGCAGTGTCCACTTTCCTTATTCCTTGTTGTTCTCTCTCCCTAATGGCTTTATAGGGCCAGGTATCTTATCTTCCGTGTTGACTATTGTTTCTGGGGCCCTAAAATAATGCCTGGCGCCTCTCAGGTACTTAATGAATGTTTGTTGGATAAGCACCTGTAGTTCTTGATACAAACGAGAGCTATGAACTCAGTTTTCAGTGGTGACCACCATTCATCTTCCCCTGCTGCTGTGACTACCATGCGCAGAGTCGCTATGTGTAGCATCAGAGTGCGTTGCTGTCTCTGCAGAGAATGTAAGTGAACATAAGTCATCCAGCAACCATTTTGTCTGGTATGAAAATATGAGGCTGGGCCATTCTGAGTCTCTCTCTAACCAGGTAAGAGAACGACTGAGAAAGTTATCCATTGAATCTGAGGCTCAAATGTCATAGAATAGACAGAAGGTGGAGAAGGCATGATGGTCTGTGTGCAAGTCAAAGTTGTAGAATCAGACAGAGCCAATAAGAAGCTATGAGGCAGAGGAAAGAGAAAGATTTAGAGAAAGAAAAGAGATGACCAGCCACATGCTAAAAGTAGCTAGGTCACATGGGTGTTCTCAAGCCAGGAGTACTTTCTTCAGCTGGGTATTTTTAATACAATAATGTTATTCTCCATAGCTGTGTGCCCTCTCAATAACTATGGAACATACATACTACTTTTCATTTAGGAATTTGCCTTTCTCTCTCTCTCTCTGTCTCTCTCTCTCTCTCTCCCTCCCTCCTTCCCTCTCCCCCTCTCTCTCTTCTCTCTCTCTTTCATGTACACAGAGGTTCAGTTTGTCTGTGTGTTCTCCTGATGGTTTCCTGTTTTCACTACGCTGATGCTTATGCATTTTTACTCAGCACGTGTTCCTAGGTTAGCTGTGTATTGTCATCGCTACATGTACATACTATGGTCCAGCTGTATGTTCTTATAGTGTACCTTCCTACAGAGAGCATATGCCCTCCATCTAGCTGTGATTTTTCAATAGAACTTGTAGTCATGACTGATGAAAAATCTGTCTCAGATTTAAGAGCAAAAAATGTTCTCATCACCTAACTTACTCTTGTATCTGATCATACACACATTTCAGGCTGATGCAATGTGGTCACTCATGCCCTCTCCTGGGGACATTAAGTATGGAGCATGACTCATCATTGCCTATTTGACTAATCCGAAAGCAATCCTACTCATCATTAGATAGTTTTTACCAGTTGATGACACAGCTGAAAGCAATAGGTATCACCACTGAAAACTCAGATGAGGAAACTCCTTGAAACCATCTCTTAGATCTCTGTGGTACCCAACATTCACTGTCTGGTTTTTAGCAATGGGGAAATCTCAAGCCCAGAAGATGTTTTAGTGCAGAGACCTGTACATAAGAACCAGTCACCTGGGGAAAAGATGGAACTTCTCAAAATTAACTCAAGGGCTCCAGAGAACCCAGACAAACACGCAAGAGCAAATAGACACAAGAAGGAACACAGTCCTGGGAAGTTCAGAAAGCAAGAGAGAGTCAGAGTACTCAGCAGGGTCCCAGGCAAGGGAGTCACTGGGGCCCAGAGAGATTCACAGAGGGCACAGCCATGAGAAGTAGACAGGTGGGTTCATTTAGAGGCCCAGGCAATGAGACAAGGCTGACAAACAGGAGGATGTGGAAGGACATAAGTGGAGGACAGAAGGGGCAAAATACATAGCATAGCAATGAAAATGGAGAAAAGTATAGCGGTGAGAGGCCCAAGTGAAAGAGGCAGGACTGACGTGGGATGCTGGGGGGAATCTCTCACCACTGAAGGCATAGGTGGCACCATGGGTGTCTGATACCAATGCAGATAAGACTAGATGCGGGCTGCAGCGTGATCCCTCAAGTTGATGGTGGGTGCTGTTTCCATGGCCAGTTCTGTTCTTGTGGCCTAGAGGGAGAAATGAGTGAGGAGACACAGGGGGAGGTCAGCATTCAGAGCGGGGCTCAAGGTAGATGAGATGACTGGGGGCAGTAGGACTGTGGCCTTCCTGTGTGAAGACAACAAGAAAAGCCATGGTGGAAACAGGGCTAGAGTTAAGGCCAAAATATTACAATCCAGAGAGAAGGGTTATGGGGCACCTGGGTATGGGGCTTTCTCACCTCTGCCAGGACAGGGTATGAAGTAGTCACGAGCATCCAGAGGGTAACGGGCAGGCACCTCTCCCGTGATGGGGTTGAAGCGCAGGAACTGGTTACCCTGGAAGCAGTAGTAGCGGCCAAGCCACCGCAGAGCAGAGGTGCAGTTTCCAACAGCCGGCCAGAAACGCTCTTTTTTGGTTCTTGTAGTAGGGTCCCAGAACCACGTGCGGCTACCTTTGTCCAATAAATCAACAAGCATTAGATAAGGCCAGGCTATGCTTTCTCTTATGCCCTCACTGGGCTCAGGTTGGACCCAATATAGTATAAGCCACTTGGAAAGCACAGCCCAGGGAGACAATCAAGGAAACTAAACACAAAACAAAATTCAGTGGCACAGTCATATGATCAGATCATAAATGGAGTAAGGGAAAATTTCTCAGGGAGGATGATGGCTAGCTAAGCTGGCATAGGAATTATAAGTCAGCCAAGAAGGGGAGATAAAACTTTAGAAAGACGAGAGCCTGGAACATGAAGCAAACTGAGTATATCAGTATAGAGAGGTGACAGCAAATGTTTTAGAGCTTTCAATGACCCAAACATCCTGCTGCAGCACACATGCCATAGGTTTGATGATCACTGGTATAGAATTTCTGAAGTTCAGGATTCAAGGCAAGGGCATGGTAAGAGTCAAACCTGGAGGATCACTAGGGGTTTAGTTATGGGGGGCCTTATATAGAAGACTAAGGAACAAAAAAGGTGGCCTAGGTCTAGGATAATGAAGGATTTTTAATAGAATTCCACCCAACTATGTTCACCAAAATAATTTCCTCTTTCTTTTACTTGACCTCTACACTCTAACTGGCTTCTCTATTTTTTCCGCTCATAAAACCTACAATGATTCCACCCCCCCCCCATTAGCAGTGTCACTACTCCATCAATACCAACCCACCATGACGGAGGCCTTGGATTCCAGACTGGACTGACCTTGGAAGAAGAGAATGCCTTCCTCCTGGCATTCTCCACGGTGACATTCCACAGCTGCATCCAGAGGGGATGGAATTCCAGGAAATTCATCTTGGAGCAGTGTTGGATATCCTTTCTCCTTCTTTTCAGGAGGGTACACCCAGACTTTGTCCCCCTGAATGCAAACATACTCTTCTTTTAACTGCGCATTCCCAATATTACCATTCTTCAGTCACATGTATTTTTGATCTATCACTCTTATACAATTACCTTCCTGCAGCCCTCCACACTTTTAGCCCATGGACAACAGAGCATTGCCCTTTGCACAATAAATACCCACAGTTTGTGTAAATACAGTCACTATTTCTACAATATATGCATATCTGGCTATGTATAACCACATATATATCTGGCTATGTATAACCACGTATTTTGATAGTATGCCTAATTACAGTCAGACTTGGCAAATATATTCACAAATAATCATCTTGCAGTTAACCATTTATTCATTTGGTCATCTAATTATGCATTCATTCAAGAAAGTTACTGAATGACCATTATATGCCAGGTATTGTGATTGAGATTCTATCTTTGACTTCAAAGAGTTCACTGTACAAACACAGACACAGCTCCTACCATCCTAGCCATGCAACACTAAGGAAAAATGCCTAAGTCTGCCTCAACAAGTACAAGAAGGTGGTCACAATGGAAACAAAGTATTTGCCCCAAGAAATGAAAATTAAAAAGAAATTTTCCAGGACAAACAAGTGAGGAAAGTGTGTCACCAGCAGAGGGAGCAGCACGTAGAGCCCAAACAGAGGAAGAAGCACAGGGTGCTCAGAAAACTTTACATAATCTCCTGTGGCTGGCACACAGTAAACACTGCAGGGGAGAAGATAACCAAGGGCCAGACCTAGGAGACCCGTGTGCTTCTGGTTTGCAGTAACCAGGAATGTGATGGCACCTTTATTGAAATGGGGAACAAAGGGGAAAGGAAGATGTTAAATGCAGTTTTCGGGCTGCTCAATTTGCAATGCCTGTAGAACTTGTAAGTCAGAGACTTCTGCCAGGAAATTGGAGAGGCTCTCTGGAGTGTGAGAGAGATCAAGGTCTGGTGTCCACAGCACGGAGAGTCCTCAGAGCTAAGGTAACAGCTGAGATACCCAGGAAGAGTGTGAAAGGCTAGGAATAGGTCTCCAAGAAACACTTTGAAACTGCAAAGGATGGGACACCTCAGAAGAGAAAGAACAAAGCTAGTCATTAGGGCCACCTGAGGCACATATTTTTGGCAAGTCAGAAGAAGATGCTCCTCTGAGCAGATACAGCTTAAGCCAGGGTACTGTATTCAGTGAACATAATAACTTGTGTTTCATTCTTCACAAGCTCTTTTGGCCAGGTCCAACTGTGGTGGGAAAGGCTTGGTCCAGCATATAAAAAGGACCTGACCCAAGGTCATGGAAGCCAAAGAGAGACTGCAGCAGGGAAAAAATGGCCAGCAGTGTTAGTTACAGCAGAGCCAGCTAGAATTAAAATTAGGAGTAAAAAATAGGCACTTGATGTGGCACCATCCAGGCCTCATGCACACACAACCTCAATTTGTCTTTTTTTTTTGAGACAGGGTCTTACCATGTGTAGTTCAGGCTGGTTTTGAATTCACTATGTAACCCAGGCTGGCCTAAAACCCAAAGTGATTCTCCTGCTTCAGCCTCTTGAGTGCTGGGGTTACAGGCATGTGCCACACACCAGGCCTACCCTTAGCTTTCTTGGGAAAAGAAAGCACAGGAGAAAGAAACCTGATGTCTATGGGTGTGGTGTGGGCCCTGCTATGGTTTGAAAGTGTCCCCCAAAATTCTTTCGTTGGAAACTTCATCCTCTTTGCAACAGAGTGACCCAACAAGAGGCAATTAGGTCTTTAGAGCTCTGCCCTTGTGAATAATGTTACTGTTGCACTAATGTGAAAAGGGGAGTGGCTTAGTGTAAGATTGGGTTGTTATAAAAGTAAGTTTGGACCCTTCTTGTTCTTGCTTTTGCCTGCTCTTCTGCCTTTCTGTGATGCTATGATGCAGCACAAATTCCCTCACCGAAGCTCAACTTCCCAGATGCCAGAACTGTAAGCTAAATAAATTTCTATTTATTAAAATTATGTAGTCTGAGGTATTCTGTCACAGAAAATTAACCCAGGCGCTGACTTGAATAAAGATTTCTGATGCAATTCCAACCCTTTCTGGCCCAGCCCTGACCCTGGCCCAGCAGTACCTTAATCAGGAAGACACTGTCATGGCCACGGCGGAATGCTGCATCCACAGAGCTGGTGAAATTCTTCCACCTCTCTGATATTAACTCCTTGGTCCATTTGTGACTCTTCCATACGTATTCCCCTGAAAACCCACATTCACTGAGGGATCCAGAACAAAGCTTTGGCCTCCTGAGGTTGTTATGTCAGTGATACCCTCAGATAATTCCCAAGCCCTCTCACAGAAAATGACACCCTCTGTGAAGGAGACTGAGACTGAGACTGAAGTGCTAAATGTTCCAACCCCGTCCCTCCTACCTTTAAAAAATAGCATGGCTCCACTGTCATCTATGGTGGTGGCATCGAAGCTCCAGCTATCTGAGCAGTATTCTGGAGTGAGGCAGGGAGACAGCAAGATAAACAACCAGGAAGGTGATAAAATGTAGATATAACCAGACAGACTCAAGAAGTTGGGGCCTCACCGATCACATGTTGGTCTGTCTTGGTCTCACTCTCATGTTCAGTGACATTCCCATGCGTACTAGTAATAGAGGGAACACAGGTAGATATCTGGGTTCATTTAGACCAATCCATTTCTCTTAGCTCTTGACCCAAGCCTAAAAACTGCCCCTACCTTTACCAAAGCCCAGACCACCATCCTCTATCCCGAGTCCCAGGTTTACTCACCGAGGAAGAGGGGTGGCAGTGGCCAGAGACCAGCACAGGCTCAACAATGCAAGTACAATTGGTGCTCCCAGTGCCCTAGCCATGGTGAGCTGGGAAAGCCACAACACAGCCCTGGGTGCTGGGTTGAACTCCTTAAATAGAAGCAGCAGCACCACCCCCACTCCCAGCCCTACTGGGAATGAGCTGTCTCCAGGACTATGGCAATATTGACTGATTACATCACTGCAAATAAGGTCAGGGTCTGGACAGAAGTCCGGACTGATCCAAGACTCCCTCTTCCCGGCAGTATCCCCCATCCCCCTTCAGCAACTTGTCAGCAATGACCAGCCCATGTTACTCACAGCCAACTGTGATGTTCATCATACTGGCAATGAGTCTGGGTGTCTTCGAGTCCAAAAAGTGGGTCACCTTTTCGTGGTAGACTTTATCTCTACTGGGGCAGGGGGAGAAGCATTTTTTTGTACTAAATGGCAAGCCCTACTCACCTAAAGCCCTAAAGCTAATACATACATTTAGTAACCACAGAGACAAACTTACTTAGAAGCACTCACAGAACAGCCTCTTCCAAGCTCCACCAGAGCCTTCCAGGTGCCCCCAAGCCATTTTAGCTTTAACTCTAAATTAGTGATGAAAGGGGCAGTACTGTCTCACTATTTCTGAATGTCCCAGCTCTGAGCCTGGCCTCAATCCAGGCAAAAGCTTGGGACAGAGGGCTGACTGTAATGAGGCCAGATCAGGAGTTGCCTCTCTTCAAAGGGCACTCGGGCCACCAGTAATTAGTCTTTCCTGGTAGTTTCCACCTTAGGGGAAAAATGCTTTATTTACCTATCCCAGGACAAATAAAATGGTAATTGGAATTTCACAATATTTTCAACCGATTTCTGCTTACATGCTACCTTCTCAGTAACGACTTTCTTGGCTACCACATCCAGCCATTTCACGTTCTTGCCTGTGTCTTTTATGTCACTTACCAAAACTTAAAATTAAATCATCTATCTACCTCCTGGATTGGTTGTTGTTTGATTTGGGGATGCTTGGTTGGGGTTTTTGTTTTGCAATCCTGGAAATCAAATCCAGGACCTCAGGCATGCTAGGCAAGCATTCTACCACTGAGCTACACCCAAGCTATTTTTTTCTTTATCATTACATCCCTTTATCACCAAAAAAGGTGGATAACAGGAATGAGGATATAACTTGCCTACCATGTACAAGGCCCTGAGTTCAATCCCCAGCACCACATTTTAAAAAAACCCAAAACCATATGATAGGTGCCCAATAAGTGAATGAAAAAATACATTCCAAATGCCACTAGTGTTGCTAGTACTGCAGCCAAATTTCTGACAATTTTCTTTCTCCTTGGATAAAGGTCATACTAGTAATGAGGATATGTTACGATGGGAGCAGATTGAAATCTAGGGGGTCACAGATTCCCTTATCACACTGCTCTTTATTTGATGGTCCTGTGTCTCTCTCCAATGTCCAGTCCTACTTACCTATCTAGGATGTCATATTTATCACCTGCTATCCCCAGTACTTCCTGGGACTACTCCCAAAATCTGCTTCTATTTCATCTGGGATTTGCCTCCTAGACCAGAACAGAATTATGGGTAGAATCAGATGTGGGCCAGGCTGAGGTTCCCAGACCAGTTTTCCACCTAAGCCTGAAAACCCCGTATATAACTTAGCAAAATCTGAGAGTTTTGGTGCTGAAATTGAATCTAGGCCCTTGAGCATGCTAATCACTCACTCTACCGTTGAGCTACACCACCATCCCTGAGAGTCCTTGTAAAAGATCTTTCCAACAGGAAAATAATGATTTAGGGGACATCAGAAACATACCAATAGGTCTCTGCCACAAGGCACAATGTATTCTCCTGACTTACAGAGGAAAGCAGAATGTCGGCATCATTCCCTAAGTCAGTGGGCAGAGCTGGATTCCCTACAGGTGATGATAGTCCCTAACCCCACCTTCTTCCATTGTGGGGGCATCTCTGGCTGGACCAGATGGTGGGCTCTCAGCACTGGGAACTGCTATCGCTAGACTCCACCTCATCTTTTCTTCCCCTCTTAGCCTCTGAACTTCTGTATAACTTTGCTGGGATCTTCTTGCCTGAGCACTCAAGGACTGCCATCAGAAACATCCTTAACAATTAATTCATCACCAGCTGTCAGAGGCCTGGTCACATGTCCTATAGGCACTGTCATAGCCTGCCTGAGGATCAGGTAGAAGCTTTCACTCCAAATCATGAACACGACCAGAAGAGCCAGGGTGAGTTTCCACAGCCCTGTTACCAATATGCTGGCCCAGGGATCAGTCTCCATTTGGCCTAGCAAGGCTCTTTGAGGAGCAGCTACACATACACTGGCTGATAGTTTTCTAGCTTGGACTCTGTTTTGCTGCACAATTCTTCCCTTCATAGCCCCCCTGATCCATCTATGACAGGAGAATGCTTAATAGTCCCTTTCATTGTCATTTCCTCACCCCCGTGTTTGCTCCCAGGATGGCGTAAATGTATTATTAGAGCCTCATGCCCTGGGTCAGCCGTCTTCTGCATGCCCCACAACCCAGGTGGAAGTACCATTTTACGCTGGAGCTGAGAGGCACAGGACCGTTTCCTTTTATGAACTCGGGGCTGTGGATATGTTGGCCACTCTCGAGCTGGTCACAGAGCACAAGGCACAGCGCAATTCTTCTGAGGCACTCAAGCTAAGGCTGACCCTTCTATTCACTGGAAGAGGCTCCCTCTGCGCGTCCTTAGTCCAACGCCCTTCCAGCCTCGAGGCTGAGAAGCTTGTACATGTTTGTGCCCGAGCGCCCTCTGGAGGCCAAAGGAACCAATGCACTCCTCCCCTTCAACCACGTACAGCCTGGTGTCTCCCGGAAAGGTGCTCTCACAGCCTTCCTCCCCTACTCTCCTGGGGGCTTTAGCGGCATGTCCATCTCTATGCTACTTGCGCTTCCTCTGCAAACTTCTGCTCTCTACAGCAGGAACAGGGACCTCAGCCTCTTTCTTACTTGATTTCCTGGAGATTTCAAGCCCAAAGAAATTCAACTGTGCCATTTTTGGTGTAGTCTTTTCAGTCCTCCTCAGCAGCAGCCTTTCATTTCCTGTTGAGGGAGTCTAAATGTAGGCCTGCAAATGTCTTCAGCAGCAGAGCTTCCCTCTGCATTGCCAGGAGCCATATTTAAGCTGGGCACTGGCCTCTGGTCTCTTGGGATGGCTATGTCCAACCTGCCAGATGCTGTTGATCTGAGTTCTCTGACCTCGGTCATTTCTCCTGGGGCTCTCTGGGAGCTGGGAATGCTGGGCCTGATGGCTTGGTTGTGTATTCCAGAGCACAGGCTGGCCCATCCTGGGATAGAAGGCTTAAGGATAAAGCTAAAGAGCTCACTTTCTCACAAATGACCCCTTTAACATAAGCATTTTCTCTTGCTCTGTCTGTAATCTCCTGAATCGTTGTCCATTTTTGTTTCCTTATAAATAATTCATGCATCTCTTTGGGGTGCCTATGTGTGTCTGACATTGTGTTCATCACTTGGCACAGATTATTTTATTAAGATATTATTTCATTAAGATATATATCTGTGGTTTGAATTTTTTTGTCCCTTCCAAATTCATGTGCTAGAAGCACTCCCCAAGTGTGGGGAGAATGTTGCAATGGAAAGTGTAGAGGATTATTGATAAGATTATATCCAAAAGATGAGAAGTATAAAACAAAAGAGGCCTTTATTCTGAGAACATAGAAAGAGAAAACCAAAACCCCCGACTGCTGGAGTCCAGCTTTCTCTCTGGCGGACACGTGGCTTGGCGGGTATGTAAGTAGCCTCGGTTTGGGGTGGAACCTAAAGGGGCATCAAGGATGCATGGGTAGTCCATTGGTCTTTGCTTGGCGCCATAGATAAATTCTTAGAGGACAGGGAAGATGGAGTCACAGGTAAATTCTTAGGGGTGGAGGAGATAGGAGCTCTTTGGTTCCGCCTCTAAGGCTTCACCGGCTACAGTGTCCTGTCTGGGCCAAAACCCTTTCAATTATTACCACTATAAAAAGGGCATAGGGGAGTTAGTCCCCTCTCTTCTGTTCTTCTACCCTAGAAAGAACAGAGTTCTTCCTCATTAGATACCAAACCTACTGATAACTTGGTTTTGGATTTCTCTTCCTTGAGATCTGTGAGAAATACATTTCTGTTCTTTATAAATTACCCAGTCTCAGTGTTTTGTTATGGCTGCGTAAGAGGACAGAGGCAGTGCTGTGTGAATGAAGAAATCAACATTAGGCATTTTAGCCAAATTACACTATAATCAAGTGGGAGAACCCTAATTTAAATCCTGGCTTTCAGACTTGCTTAAAGTGACTCCTTAACCCTATGAAAGGGTGTGCTATAAATACTTAGCAGGAGCTTTTTAGAGGGAGAAGAGCCCTGATTTGTAAAAGTGCATTTATACAATGCACTTATCACAGCTAATCAAGTTGCCAATGAAATGTCACCAGAGAGTTGGGAAGACATGTGCATGGTGGATTACTATGTGGTATTTCCACCACACCAGACAGTAAAGCACCTCAGAGCATAGGTAATAGTAAAATGAAGTGGAACAGTTAGGAAGTGATGAGCTTTGCATAATCTTCAGCTTTAATAAAATTTATTTGAATGTAGTTTAACTTTTAATAATGATGGGTTTTTAACAACCAGCTCTCAACCCTCCACTGCATGAAAATTTAACTATCAGTTCTTGTGAACCAGTGGCTCCAGCCCTCACTGTCCACCATATCTCCTGCATTCAGAGAACAAAAATATGACCTGCTTTTTTCTCGGATATGTCTTTGACACCTAGAATAATGCCCAAAGTATTGCAGCTCATAAATACTGAATGCTATGACTTAATTCCTAATTATACATGAAATACCTCTGTCTTTTCCCTAGTACAAACATCTCTTTTATTCATGCCTTTATTTTCCCCTACACCCTTTTCAACTCCCCTTTATTCCCTTCCTCTTTTCTAAAAATAGTCTTCCTCGTACTTTCATGTCATTTTTTAAGATTCTACACATTTGATATTGTCTTTGAGTCTGGCATATTTTACTTAACGCAATGATCTCCAGTTCCATCAACTTTCCTGCAAATGGCAAAATCTTGCTTTTACAGCTGAACGATATTCCATAATGTGTATATACTCATTCATCAGC